ACATATGTCATCTTGAGTTATGTCTATTATTGGAAGCCATAAACATATGTGTATAAACATGTTACAACCCAGATTGGGAGCCCAGGGAGTCATAAAGGTTTTGTGATCCCCTCGGGTTAATTTAAGGTTCAATGACACCAAACAACCAGTTAAAACGTTTTACTTGCTTAATGGTTCAGAGCCTGCTGAAGAAGTACGAGAGGAATGGCCTCACCTTGTACTCCTGGCAGCAAGTACATGATTTATCCTCAGTGCACAAGTGCAGTTTTTCTAAGAGTAAAAAGTTACCTTTAGTGATTGAGAAACAAAAATGAAAATATGATGAAATGCACACCAAGGACTCAGAAAATAAATAGGCAGAAAAAGTCTCAGTTTTTCCAGAACATCTCACTTAAGGGCTTTTTTTTAAACAGTCCAGTACTGGATTTCTACAGGGCAGATGACCTGTATTTCACTACTCTTCAGGTAGAAGTTTAGAAGTGCTCTTTGATTCTTCCTGATGAAATGGAATTAATTATTTCTTTCAGTTCTAGTAATTGTGTTGTTTCCTTTCAGATGGAAAATATTATTAGTTTTAGAAGCAAAACAAAACAAAAAGCATAGACCAAAGCTGTCCCAAAGCCAGCCTCAGTAACAAGACCCAGAATACATGTTCAAGCTTGCTTTCTTTTTAGTATGCTGGCCCAAGAGATGAAAGAGGCTCTGTGGGATGGCAGAAATATAAAATACTGTAATGACTGTTTCATCTTTCTTTTATGAAATACCCTTCTTTCTTGACTATCAACCTGATTTTCTCCCAGTTACTCATTCCTAGGAAACTTGGATTTGCACTGTCTGGAGTGTAAGTATATTTGTTAGTCTGTGTAATATGCAGGACACTTCTGAGAGGGTCTGCAGAACCAGTGGTACCCACATCCCCTGGCTGCCAGGATGCTCAGCCCTCATGTGGAGAAAAGGTATGTAGATGAAGATCACTGAGAGAGATGTGAACAGTCATCAACACAAAAAAGACCAACAGGTTTCACTGGGAAACAAGAGAAGGAAAGAGAATGTGAGATTAAGCATGGATGTCTTAGATGTACTGAAGATGCACAGCTGTGTGATGCCCGACAAGCCCCACTCCTGCTAAGTCCATCTAAAAGCAAACCTCCCTTTACAGCAAAGTTTAAATTCAGGTGTCTTGCATTTTACACTGCTATTCTAGAGGTGGAAAGCAGAGCAAAATGTAGGATGTATCCAGCCCTTTCTTGCCATGGAAAAGGACACCAGAACTTTTCTACCAATGTCCTACCCACACAGTTAACTTTCTCTGCTGGGAATTGTGGTGCACTTTGCCCTAGAGAGATTGGCAGGATCTCAAACTGTAAACTATTTAGGATTTGCTTGGTTTATAGAAGCAAGTTGGAGAGAGAAAAGATGTGGTTTGTCCATGGTCACGGGATTGATTCACAAGGAAAATGGCAGCTGGTGGCAGATCCTCTGGACCAGGCTGGACCTCCTAGTAGACCTATTTGAGCATTCATGGCTTGAGGAAGCATTGATTGAATATGATGGTTAAGGGGGATAGGATAATTTATATGAGCAGAGCCAGAAGGGAGTTGAATCAGCCAAGCTTAACAATCATGATATAAGCCTCCAGCAGGCAACATGTCTTGCAAAACCTAGCAGGTTTGGTTTTACTAGAATCTGTATCACTGACTCCAGTTATTCTCTAAAGCATTTTTTTTTTCTTTCCCAGTTAAATAATGGTAGTTTGCATCAGCTGTATCATATTATTTTCCTTAAACCTGAACAACTTTCACTGGTTACTGGCTCAAATGGTTTTGCTTAAAAGAGGTTGTTGGTCCAGAAATCAAGGGAAAAACTAAGAAATATATTAACAGCAGAGTGTGTGCACCCAGAAGGCAGAGGAAAGAACAAAGAATAGACCTCATTTGTGACAGAAGGGACTTCAGATTGTCTCTTCTGCCAGCACACAGGGTGTACTGCAGGTGGAGAAATAAAAGGAGAGGAACAAAGAGCACTTTGATTTTAGGACAAGAAGCCTCTACTTATTCTCCTTCTCACTAACTTCAATGGCATTGTCATGCCAGAGAGTCGGTGTCAGCTCAGCCACCACCAGCTCTGGAGAAAGGTGATGTACAAAGAACTTTGCAAAACTCAGCAGAGATTGCTGAGCTGAACCAAGTCCTTGTAAAAAGAAATGTTTGACATGAGAGCACAGAATAGGACAGAAAGGGCTTTTTGTGTCTTGCTCTTCTATGAATATAGAAAGATTTTACATTTTCTGTCATTTTTGGTCCACCTGGAGTACTTTCCATTTGCCTCAGTCTGCCCTGAGGTTACCTCTGGTCTTCATCTACTACTTCAGAACTATCCTTCTTTTGCTCGTATCTACTTTCCTCCCTCTCTTCCAAAGAAGCAGCCCTCCTATTCTCCAGACCTTTTCATCATTTTCTTCTTTCTTCTCTAAATTTCCCCAGTCCACTGAAGGAGCAGTAAAATTTGGATAAATATAGAACTTTTCCACCTCAGTAGATATGAGTTACAGAGTGATCGAATATAAAGTATCATTCAAGTTCCCCAAATGTCCTCTTTATTTTCATGAAATAAGGGCAGGAAGATGTCCCTGGGACTTCCCTGTTTCTGTTGCTTTAGCACATGGCACTTTCAGATAAATTTATTTTAAGCTGTATAGCCTGCAGTTCTCTGGAGTTCCTTCTGAAATCCCCTCAACTACAGTGAAGGCAGGTGAGCATAGGAGACTTGCTAACACATTTTTCTCATAAAAACAAAAACCTGTGTGAAGGGTGTAGGTAGGTCAGCCTCAAAGAACAAGTAGGTTAGTTGCTGGAGGCCTGACCTGCTTTAGAGGGAACCTATTCTCTACTCAGAACAAAAAGGGGAGACTGGCAGAGAGAAATTTAAGTGACTCAAGATCTACTCATTAGTCCTAGGAGATAGAAGAAAATGTTGAAAAAGGTAGTGGTGGAGCTTGGGCTTTGGTTTGTTAGTTGGCAGGGGAAAGCGTTCCACTAAATCAAGCATGATGGTGGAGAAGATGTCTCCAAGGACAGCTGTATCCATCTGGAAGAGCCACTGCCCTGACACCCCAGTCTCCATCAACCAGTTAGACCTGACCTGGTGGGGGTGGCGGGGGCGTTCTTATTTTTTTTGCAGGTCAAAGGGCACTGCTTTGGGCACTGAGGTACTGAGAGCAGTGGAACACACACTGTTAACACCTGGGTGAGCCTGGGGTGACTCAGGAAAGATGCTGTAAAGTACTGAAGGAATTAATGCCTCAAACATTCATCAACATAGAAAGCCTCAAGGACAAGCTGTGGCCCTTGTAATTAGTCTAAGGAACGCTGCCCAAGGAGGCAAGGGGTGTATCGAAGGATGCACATCCCACTCCCTTGCGGTTGTATTGCCAAACTCCTTAGATAAGCTTCAAAGGCGGGAAATGTGAACTGAGTGAAACCGTATGTTCAGGTTAAAAGTCTTATAAGAGAGATAAATAACTAACTCTGGATTGGACCTAAGCAAAAACTGAGGAAGAAATAAAGGAAGGGGAGAAGGGGGAGCATGACCACGAACTCAATTGGATGAGGGGCTGGGTGCACCCTATTCCCCCTCATGTTTTCCTCATCTCTCATGGAAATGAGTTCATAGAATACTTGCCTCTCTTTGTCTAGTGTGTTAATTAGCTGATAAGACGAACTTAAAAATCAACAGAAAACTTTGCTGGGTGTGCATCCAACCACCCAAGATTACCAGACCAGAGACAACGCTGGAACCTGGCATGGTGATCCGGATCCTTTGACTCTTTTTCTCTCCCTTCCTTTTCTCTCCTTTCTTTTATTTCTTATAGATTTATTAGTAAGAGACCACATTTCTTACTATCCTTTTCAAAGTTTAAGTTGTTTCTACCACCAGTAAAACATTTTAATTGCTTGTTTGGTGTCATTTCACCCTAATTTAACCCGAGGGGTTTAACCCTTTACGACTCCCTGGGCTTTCAGTCCGGGTTGTAACAGGTGCAAGCACCACCCTGTTCCTTAGGACAGCTCAATACCAGAGATCCAAATATTCCCACAAACCTGTGTCTTAAATAAAGGGTTTCTGGTTTCTTATCACCAATGAAGAGGAACCCAGAAGATCCTGGCCAAACCACTTGAACACTTACAGTTTGTGAGTATGAAACTGGGCATAAAATCAACTTGCCTTGAGATTTTGTATAATAAAATGACCTTCCCTTTCCATAATATCTTTCACTGTTTTTTTAATGCTGATTTCCTACAGCCTAGCATCAGAAAAAAAAAGGTTGTTTATATATCTGGGCTAAGGATCCAGGAACGAGGCAGATCCTTGGGTTTAGTACTCAAAATTTTATTGATGACTATTGCCAGGCTAGAGACCTGCAGTCAATTATTACAGTTTGTGGTAATTCAGAAAAAAAACAAAAAAACCAACCAACCAAACAAAAAAAAACAACAAAAAAAAAACAATTACCAGGTTTAGCAAAACCTTGGTACAGTTGTTGTGCAATTTGGTACATTCGTTGTGAACAACAAATAAGTTCAAGAAATTGATGAGGTCTGAAAAAGAAGCACAAGTACTTTCTAGAACATTAAGTATTCACAGTCCAGTATCTGAACGGTGAATGTCACAGCTCTTGGCTATCGTTATTATTACTACTACTACTAATAATATATAATGATATGATCACTATATTATAATATTATATATAAAATATAATTTTATATAGACACATATGTTTTATATATACATATGTTTTCTTATAATAATAACAATACTAACAATACCAACAATACTAACAATAATATTAATAACATTATTATTATTATTATTATTATTATTATTATTATTATTATTATTATTATTATTATTATTATCAATAATAATAATACTACATTGTGTTCCAGACATTGGATTCTAGTTTTAGCAGTTCATGATAGCATAGAGGTCTCCACTGTCGGTGTGACTGCCTCTACCCTCGAACGGAGGCCAGGGAGGAACGTGCTGCGGACGTCAAAGCCGTTTGCGCTGTCGCACGCTGACATGCAGCCTGACACCTCCCCGGGGGAAGTTCACGCTGCTGATTTCCAGGAGCAGCGCGGGCAGCCGGCCCCGACCCCCACCGCGCCTCTGGCTTTTTACCGGGCTCTCCCTGTGAGCAAGCGCGGTTGGTGCCTCGCGGGCGCTTCTCCAGGATCGCTTGGTTAGGTTGGTTGCTCTCCACGACCCCCGGGGGGACGAAAGGAAGCCCCTTCGGGACGCGGCCACCGCGTTCCTGCTGCTGGAGGAGTCAGGAGCGCGAAGGGCGATATGCTTGACCTTCCCCGCTCCTCCCGGGAGCCTTGCGAGGTCGGTGGCGGTTGGGGTGAATTTCTTTTTTTTTTTTTTTTTTTTTCTTTTATTGGTAGGGGAGGTGGGGGGCGCGGCTTGCCGTGGCCGCGGGGCGGTGGGAGCCGGATCCCCGCGGGAGGGCGGGGAGCTGGAGACCCGCCCGGAGCGGGGCTGGGCGGGGGAGGCCGTTTGTCCGTGTGTCCGTCCTCCCTCCTCCTCTCGTGTCCGTCGTCCCGTCTTCCTCCTCGTGTCCGCCCCCGGCCGTGCCCGCCGTGGCACCCCAGCCTTCCCCCGCCTTTCCTGAGCCGAGGGTCCCCGCGGGGCCGGGCTGACGGGGCGGTCGCCGCCGGGGGCCGGGGGGGCGAGCGGCTGTTGGAGCCGGTCGCCTTTCTAAAAGCTGGAGAAGCTTCGCAGGAGGTTCGCGGAGGAGGGGTGAGCCCAGCGCCGGGAGGGATGCCGTCGGTGGCTCCGCAGAGCTCAGCGCCGCGGTTTGGGAAGGTACGGCACAGGGAACGCTTTGCTCTTTACGTGCCCTAGTCTCACACGCTTTTATTTTTTTTATTTTTTTTTTTTTTTTAATATTTTCCCCTTCTTTATTTCCCCCTGTACTGGCATGGGCTAGTGTCCTAAAGGGATTTTTTTTTTTTATTATTTTTATTTGTTGTTGTTGTGACTGGTATAGCCACACAATAGCCTGGCTCCTCACTGAATACAATCTCATAGCCACACTGAAGGTGAGCAACCGGGTATTAAAGCAGTGAGATACAAGGCTGTTACTGAAGCTGTGTTTTCCTGCAGGTGTGTCACATCTTTCACTGCTTTATAAACACTTCCATAACTCGAAATTTCTCTCTCTTGCTCTGCTGGCCCTTGATTTTTGCATGCTTTTAGGAATATCTTTCTGAATTTCTTAGAGCCGTGCTCAAGTATGTGGCTACACTGTATTCTCTGGCAAATTCATTATTCGTTGGGCTTGTTGCTGAAGGATTCATATTTCCTGATTTTACACGTTAGAATTAGGTCTGTATTCATGCTTGGCAACTGTGGAGTTGTAGCAAGAGTTGTTTTAGCACAGCATGTTTGAAATTTAAAGGCAGGCTACTAGTTGTGTGTGTATGTGTTGTATGCACAAGTTTGCTGGGAATTTCTTTCTTAAATGGATTTTTTTTCTCCCTCTAATTCCTCTATTTATTCATCAGCTCTCATTTTTTAAGCTGTATGATGACATAGAAAATACAGGTGTTTCTCTTTTCTATTTTTTGCGTGTTATGAAAATCTTTTAGAAGTTTGGGTTTGCTTACGGTCTTGACAGAAGACACTCCCAAGATGCATCAGGTGTAGGTGATGTGTGTTACAGAGGTATTTTATGCGAAATAATGTTTCCACTTAAATATGACACCAGCTTCAGTTCCAGGCAGGTCTCCAATTCACCTGTATTGTGACAATATTAACTGATTGAGAAAAGGAAGCAGACCAAAAGCTGTTCGCTAAGGAAAACAGCAGCACACCCTTTCCCACCTTGGAAATATATTTGTACGTAGCAGGTGCTTTATGCTCCAAAAGTTTCCCAATTCATGCAATTTTGGACAGATGTGGAGTCCAGAAGTCCTCAAAGAAGTTTGTTTCAATTTATTCCTTGATCTCACAAGCTAACCCTACCCCTCTTTCAGTGCCACAGCTAGTCCTGGACAACCAGTAGGTCACACTTCTGGTGGATTAAGGCCTTTCTAACTTCCATGGAGCAATTTTTTTCCCACCTGGACTGGAGCACTTTCTGTGTTGTGTAATGAGACTTGCCAAAACTCACTCTCTGCCCCCAGAGCTATTTTTTTCTCACATGACAAAGCTACTGTTGGTGTTTGCACCCCAGAGACGTGGTATCACCGGAAGATGTCACTGAGTTGCCCATCTCTCCTTATCTTTCTTCAGGTGAAGGAGACTTTCCCTTCAAAAATGACTTTCCAAGCTCTGTTTTTGTGTCTGGCTTGTGCTGGACTTGGAAAGGCAAATGGTAAGTTGAATTTCCTGAAATCTGCCTGAAAATGGTTGGGATACTGGTTTCTGATTCCTGAGGCTTCAACAGTCAGAGTAAGAGGCAAAAGTAGGTGAAAAGTAGGTTTGACATACATTAAATAGCTGAGGTATAGACATGGAGCTGGTAGAAGTTACACAAGACCACCTGGAGCAGCATTTGGAGGTGGGAGGGACATGCAGCATCCCATATCTACAATCATGCTGGACACAGTTGTTCATATGAGTTCACAACTTCCCATAGCGGATCTTTCCCTTGGGAATAAATCTCTCTCTTTCTTTCCCTCCCTCTCAAATGTGCTGCACACTCTTAAGCTACATAGGCCAGAAATTTTCTTTAACCCGTTTTGCTACTCAGTTCTCCGAGAACGACTTGGGGTACACTTCCCTTGTGCATTCAATCTTCCTCTAGCTTTTAGGAACCAAAAATTTAGTCTTCTCTGAGAATAGGAAGCCATGAGCTGATATAGTAGAACTGACGTGGGAAGTCTGCAGGGATGGGTACAGAAATAGGGTGTGACTTTTTCTTTTAGACAGTTTAGAAGAAGCCAGAGCCTCAGCCAGTGTAAATCACCATAATTTCATTGGCTTCTAGGGGGATGCAGGAGAAGGACATTTTGGTGGGGGAAAACCATAGAAACAATATGTAGTTGATGGAATTGTTGTGTCTATGGGTAATCCAGGCCTTAGAATCAGCATTAGGCTTTTGAATATGTGTGACATCTGCCCATTTCACTATTTCATGTCACTGCAGTGGTTCCACAGGCTGAACAGAGAAGCGTGAAGATGGGTGACAACGTGACTCTCAGCTGTGCCCTTACAGAACCCAAGGAAGTTTTGCAAGTGACGTGGCAAAAGGACTCTGGCAAATCGTACAATAATATAGCTACATATAGTATCATAAAAGGATTAAAGATTCACGAGCCCTATCAAGACCGAATGAATTTCACAAGTCTCGTACTCAATGAGACAAGCATCACTTTTTGGGACACTAGAATGGATGATTCAGGGTGTTACACATGTCTCTTCAATGCTTTTCCTTCTGGCTCCTCCTCAGGACGTACCTGCCTGAGTGTCTTTGGTGAGGTTCTCTGCAGAGATATGTCTCTAGTGGAAAAAGGTGTTTTCTCACCCACAGCATTTCCTTGAGTGGACTGAGGAACTGCAGTGGTAGGAGCATCCCTTGGTGGAACATAGTATAGAAACAGAGCGTTACTGCTCTCAGCAAGACTCTGTGGAGTCATATTCAAGCCTGTTGTGGTGGTTTTGGCTCTGGGCTGTTCTTGTTTGTTATTCTGCAAGTAGCAGCTAAAAATCAAGGAGTGGGATCTTTCTTTGTAAGCCCCTGAACAGTCCCAGATGGAACCTGGGCAAACCAGTGCTGCCTGTTGCAGTTTCTTTCCTCTTGGTGCCAGCTACGACCCTAGTGCTGTGAGCTGCTGTGCTGAACCCTACCATTGATAGGAAATTGGCAGATAGGAGAGCAGCACAGACCAAGAGGTGGTTTTACTTTAACAGATTGTTTAAAAAGCTGGGATTTCAGGTTGAGTGAAACCTTTCGGGTATATAACTTCACTATAAGGGAAGGAGTATTAAATCATGGGGGGGGTGGGGGGGGGTGGGGGACCAGACCCGGTGAACTATTTGGGTATTGTTGTGCCATGGGGCTCAGTGAGAATCCAGTAAGCTTTGTTATGACTGATAATGGTTAAACTGCTGCTATTGCTTATGACCAGGTGCTCATTGTGGTGATGGATTGTTTCATTTGTGTGTTGGAAGGTCTCAATGCATCTGTCCATTACAACATTTCCGAAGGTCATTTGATAGCCACCTGTAATGCTGTTGGCCTCCCAGAGCCCACCATCACCTGGGACAACTTGTTCAATTCTACTCCTACACAGGAGACGGTCAGGCACGCCAACGGGATCGTGTCCATCACCAGTAAACTGGAGGTCAGCAACACTGAGAGCTTGAGTGCTCAGGGCTTGACCTGTAGAGTAAGCAACATGAATGAAAAAATGGAATTGCCTGTGAAAGTGAAAGGAGGTAGGTGAACAATACAGGCTACTTGGTAGTGCTCTCTTGGCCTCTGTGTTCTGCAGCAGCGTGTTTGGATAGGAATCTGCTGGGAAGAGGGGGGAGTGAAATGTGTATGTGCCAAGGAGAGAAGAAAGGAAATCCTACTTTGTGTTCACTGCCATCTTTTAGACCGTAACATATTGGGGTCCTCTCCAAGAGGGAAAAAGGTCAAACTATTCAGCTAGGGTGCCGTGGGTTTTAGAGGCACCATATGTTTTGCAACCTAAGAGTCTCCTTACCTTTACCCCTCCAACACCCTCCCCTGTCCCCCGGGGTGGGAGAGGGTGGGCGAGTGGCTGCGTGGGGGTTGGCTGCCAGACAGGCTTAAACCATGACAAAGTCAAACTTCAGTTTTCACACAGGCCTTCATAGCTTCTTTGACAGACAGAAGATAGATATAAATGTTTCTCACGTGATCCCTATCTAGATGAAGTAAAAACTCTGTGGGTTGCTTAATGAACACTCCAGTGGTAGTTTTGAAATTAATAGCAAACTATCTCTGAACAACAACTAGCTGAACTTTTCAGTTAAACTTACTACATGTTTTGGTACAACTACTCTGTGTATTATGTTTTAGTTTCTCTGACATTTTTGCTAAGATACACGTGCATTGCAGTAATGCCTAGGGAGGAATAGTATTTTCAGACAGACAGAAAGGTGATTAGTTGAAGATACTTACATTGGTTTTATGAGGAAATCTTAAATACATGAATGTAACAACTGAATACCTTGTAGTGCTAATTTATTTCTTCTTCCAACATTCTGTTCTGCTGTAAAGACTTTCACTCTGTTCTATAGATGAGAAATAGAAACATTAAAAGCTGAAGTATCATTCTCAGTTCACACAGGAACATTGACTTAGGTGATTTAAAATTCAGGTGTCTCCAAATCCGGAGCCTTATAAGGAAGACCACCTGGAAATTAGCAAGACAGAAAAATAATTTTGGGATTGTGGGTTAATTGCCAAAGTATGTGCTCAAGAAGTGATTGTTATAGGAATAGTAATAATAAAGAGTAAGCTCTGACTTTTAACTTCTCTCTAAAAGTTCAAAAGTAAGTTAGCTCTTAATTCAGAGTGACACTAATTGAAAAAGCATAATAAATCTTTTTGTCCCATCTCAAATGCAATATTCTTTTGTTTTGACCTTTTAAAAAGGAAATGTGTGTCTCAGAAAGCAGGAAACTAAGATTGTTATTCCTTGCTAGGAGAATGAACAGTCAGCTAATAGCTTGTTGTTTTAACAATCTTATATTTTAGAGAAAGAGAAATTCAAATGAGTAGTTCAACATAGCTTTGTTAAAAAAAAAAAATCATTTTGGCTTGATTCAAATAAATTTTAATTTAGAAAGTTTTCCAGCTAACATCAGTGAGCATTGAAATGAGCATTCATATTATCATTTTGATTGATGGCAGCCAAATGAAGAGGCTAATGTCTAACCAGGGAGGGACATTTATGTTCAGGAGTTGGGTAGAGCTACTTTCAGGCATCAAAACATAGCCTGTCTTCTTTTCTGAAAGTTAGTTTAGCCTTTGCAACAGTGATAAGTGTTTAACAGTGAAAGGAATAACTTTTATTTTACAAACAAAAAGCTCAAATTCTGGATGAACAAAAAAAGCTCTTCAGAAATTGTCAAGACTTGTATAAAGTTCTGCTTATGTATGCATGCCAGCTACCGTATCAGGTAGGGGAATGACAGTTTTCTTTGCCATGGAGGAATATGAGAACATCTTTTCTTCACAAAGCATTTTCTGTGGGCAAATATGTTTGCCTCTGAAGATATACACATTCACTCTGTCCTTTGAGCAATTGGTGCTTTCACGTAGCTTAGCAATAACTTTGACAGTCTTGATGAGGAACCACTGTCATTAATCAGACATCCTCTTGGTGCTTTTGGCTCTTCTTCCTGTATAAACTAGCTTAGTTTGGTGTATTTTTTTTATTGTTTTATTTTCACAGAAAAGGAATCCTCATTGCATTGGCTTATGATTCCTGTGGGGATTTTAATTGTCATAATTCTTGTTCTGTTCACACTGTGCTGGAGAAAGAGGATATGCAGGAGGAGTTGAAATGGTGAGTCACTGATACATGGGTATTTGTAGAGCCCATTACAAGTTCTGGTCATCTGCAGAGAAGAATGAGTCTTTGTTGAGATACCATTAAGGAGTATGAACCTGTCATATGGGACAAGTAAACTTTATGACAATGTATTTACTGTTAGTTGAGGTTGCCTCAGTTGCATGTAATTTTGAGAGCTGTTTTCCCACTGCTACTGTCAAGGGACAGTAGAAGACTGCAGGTAATGAGGGGGAAGATCCGAGCAGAGCAGGACATACTGCTCACGGTTTACTTTCAGGAAGAAGTCTCGGCAGAAGTAACTCACTGGCCTTTCACATTTTCATGGAGGACCACAGAAGTGTCAAGCATAAGTATTCTCAGTGAAATTTTGGCAGAAGAGGTATGTTGGAGAGAAACCCACTCATACAGAGTGATGTACCCTCAAGGGAAGGGCCGGCTTCTGGTTGCAGCGCTCTTTTTCTATTTTAAGACAAGCAGTGTAATATGATGAAGTGCACTCAAAGCTGGCATATGAGTCTGCTTCCTAATGATGAATGAAGGAGAAATTGCGGTTTTTATAATGTCCTTGTATGTGTAATGACCTGCTCATGGATGAGCTCAGCTTTCTAGTCTTAACTACCAATAACAGAATGAAAGGAAAAAATTAGAGGAGGGGGGAGGCCTTAAGCTTCAGAAATCACAGAAATCTGATGGTCGTTGGTAATTTCACTCTTGCTTAACTAGATCAAAATACTGTGTCTGGCTTTAAATTCTACTAATAAGTTTAGAAATGCCAGCACACATTAACTCAGTTCCTGAATATTGCTTCATGCTGATAATGTGATACAAGGTCAAGAAGTGTTTCCAGGAGTATCAGACCTGTCTATTTTGAACTTAGACCTACATCATCTACTGTTAAGAGGGGTTGATCTAGTAAATCTGCTACTGCCAGCGACATAAAAGTCTTCACTGAGAAAAAAGAGAAACTAACACTTCTTACACATTAAAGACAACTTATTAATTGTAGAATGTATGTGAGCTTTCCATTGATCCTATAAACAATTCAGAAAAGAAAATTTCTGTTGAATTTTCAGACCAACCTGGAAGTTAAAGGGCAAGGAGTTGGTTATTGGTTTGTTGTGTTTTGGGTTTTTTTATTTTTTTTTTTTAAGGATCGGAAGAAAAATTGAAATGCTCAAAAGAAAGATGTATGTTTATTCTAGAACAATCATTCCAGACACAGCTGAGCTTGTAATAAGCAGACCTTGAAGGAGAGACCTTGAGTCATGAGAAACCTGGCAGAGGTCTGGGATCACCACTAGAGTGGATCAGAGAATGACCAGGCAAAGAGAGCGCTAAAAAGCGCAGGTGCTGCCTTGCAGAGTTTCAAAGCCCCTTCATTACGTGCTAGATGGGGAGAACCACACTGGGATGCTGTGACTGCACTGGTGCCTGGAGCAGGAGAAGGGTCAGTTGGTGAAACATTGCTTGACAAGACTAGGTTGTTCATGTGTAGGCTAGGGTGAGGATGTTATACCTCCTGGCATGATTCTGGCCCTTGGATATTAGCAGTTCCCCAGGCAATGCCCACATGAGGTTCCAGCGATAGCTTGTAACAGGACCATCTCTGGCAGGCAGTATGCTTAGCTTCACAGCAGGACTCCTGTGCCCTACACCACCCTCCAGGTATCGGGCTGGGAACCCCCAAGTCATTTCACACATCCTTGTGCCGTGTCGTGAGTCATGATTTCCTGCTGCGGAGACACCGCTGTGATGCACAACAACAGAGTCTACACGCTATTTTGGAAACATTGAACAGAGCCCCCTCCCGCCTTGTCTTGTAAGGGAAACATAAGACACGGAAAAGCATAGCATGTTTAAACTGAAAGCACTGTGCCCCATCCTCCTTAGCTAATGGCTCAGAGCTTGAAGTCCCCCCTGTGTCAGCAAGAGAAGTGGGGTCTCACGCCCCACTGTCTGGGGAGGACGTCTGGATTCCTGGCCCCACATGTGTGCCAGCATGTCACAGGGTCAAGACTTCATGTAAATACCAATTGACCAGGGCAGAGGGCATAAATTAGACTAGCAGAGTTTAGCAGTGGGTGTAAATTTGTTGTATTAGAGATTATCAACAGGAGCAGGATTTGAGGGGCTTCTATTTTTCATGTTTCTTCCCATTTAACATGGCTTTTGATTAACTGCGATGCCAGGATGTAACTTTTGGGCTTGTAAGTCGTTCAGTCTCTGTTCTTTTAATGTAGTCTAGTTTTTATCAGTCTTAGCCTGTACTTTTCCAGTTGCTTTTTTGATCTTGTATTTAGAAAAATGTAATGCGCTGACCTGGATCCTTTTTGCATAAAGGCAGCGTTACTTTATCCAGAGTAATTTTGACCAGCTGATCCTATTCCTTCATACAGTGACCAGGTTAGAGAAATGTGTAGTCTATCTTTCTAATGTACATTTGTTTCCCTGAAAGCCTCATTAAGTAGCTTGTTATAAAACTCCAATACTGGTGCAGTTTGATCACTCTGTCACCATCTGATTTTTTTTTTTTTCCTAGATGTTCTTTTCCCTCTATTGATAAAAGTTAGTTACAATTTATATTGTATATGGTTCCACTGTCACTTTCCCAGTCAAATCCTTAGAATGTCAAGGATATCTGTGGAGCTACAGTCATTTTTAATACTATGTTTAGGGTGCTTCACCACTGCACAAATACCACACTGTAATGAGGAAATCCCCTACACCTCCTTAGTTCCTATCTGAGCAGCACATTGTGGACCTTAGTCTGTTTTTGTGGTGACTTGTTTTTTTCCCCAATCACCTGTGAAATCTGTTTAGGATCTTTAAAACATTGGTTGCAGTTGATTCACTCAAAAGAGAATAACATCTTGCAGAAAGGCCTTTTCTGGTTTTATCCCCTATTATCTTCAGATTGGGTTGGAACAAGGAGCAGCACCTGCGCACATATTTCTGGACGCATTTTTTGTAACAGCACAGTAGAGAGGTAATAGCACTGGCTGGAGGATACCAATGTCTGTCTGAGGCCATTTTCGGGGGCTTCAGTGCTTCTTTTCGTTCTGTACTATATAATAAGCAAAGCCTTTCCAGTCTTGTCAAGATGCCTTGTTTTTAAAGTGAAACAACAGCTTGGTGGGGGCCTTTTTCTGTCAGAGTTTATTCCCTTCTGCTTCTGCTGTTGAGAGTATGGTTTGGTTTTGCTTTGCTTTTGTTTTTGTTGTTTCCTTTCTCTCTGGTAGACACTTAGGAATCAGGTGAAGAGCTGGGACCCAGAGTTCATGTCCCATCCCTCAGGCATTTGCCTTGTGTACCAGTTACAGAGCATACATACATCTTGATTCTCCCTGAAAACATCCCAAGTGAAGCATCTGCACCACATTTGGCAAAAAGTCACTCGTTTGGAAGCAAACTGAGCAGCCTGTGTGGTGAGAGCTGATGCAAAAGCTTTGGAAAACTCACATCTCCATCCTCTGCCAAGCAGAGAGGCAAACCCAGATGTGCCTATCACTGGATTTAAGTGCCTTGAGCAGGCTGCAATGAATCGCCAGACATGACTTCACCCATGCTGGAGGTTTCTCAGTGCTATTCTTCTGGTTAAAGGTTACACAGTTTCCTACCTGGCTCAACTAATAGAGCTCAATTGTAGACCACACCGATGTAAAGCAGTCCAGTTAACAAGCCAAGTGCCTTGACTGAAGCAAAATAAAGGCTATTAGTCTGAATAAATTCCAGTGACTTACATATTGCATACATGTCTCCACCTGAATGCTTTCCACAGCATCAGTTGTTTATTCCAAGGTTTGCAGGATACTCGTATTTCAGCCTGGCCAGTTAAAAAGCTTTATAGTCAGTTCTCAGGACCTAGCAGTCTGCAGGGGGATAAAATTCCATACAGTGAGTTTCCTAGAGGCCTATGAGGAAGGTCTATTTCACAAATAGATATAAAGGCCAGCATGTTTTTTTGTTGCTTTTCTTTTTGAGCGTTGTTAGATCAATCTCTCTTGGGTAGCTTATGCATATTTTGTCATGTGGAAAGCTTTAGAAAGGGTTAAATAGTATATTTATGTTTAAAAAGCTATAACAGGACAAAATATTCTTGGAGCTTGTTATTGAATAGATATGATGCAACCTAAGAAAGCTGAGCAAATTAGTTGAACTTGGAAGAAGAAAACTTGAAGAGTCATAGAAGAAGAGACTAGGTCGGATCAAAAAATCTGTTCTGTAGAAAGCACCAACATAGCTGTTGGTTTTTCCTGTCTGGAAATTGAAACATTCAGGTTTTCCTTCAAGTGGAAATTTTATGGAACTTAGATTAAGCAGCGTTGAAGTCTTTATTTCAAGGTGTTTATGCCTGAATACAGCCAACTAATGAAGAGATGCTGAACCTCAGTGTACCTCAAATGTTACATGAGTGCTATAAAACAGATTGACAATACCTCTTTATTACCAACTAGAGATAACTTAATACCCTGAATAGGGATTTAAGATGTCTTGATTATTATTTTTTTAAGTTTGGAAGTTACTGCAAATAATGTAGATTCAGGTCTGTTAAGATGCAAACAGCAACTTGGCTGATCAGCTGTAATACATAGGTGGCAGAAACCTAAATTCCAGTGGCCAAATATGTCCTGAAAGACTGGGAAATATCACAGTCTTGTGCAGAGGATTCCAGTTATTTGGGAAACTTTACAAGAACAACTACTTTCACTGACTTTCCATTGCTTTGTTTATAGTAAAGCTAGAAATTATTTTTGGAAGAGCCACTATAACAGTATCCTCTAGTGTTTATTCAGTTTGGGGGAGGCTGTGTTCCTAAGATTTGGCTGAAAAATTATGGCAATTCTTATTTTATCTGTATGACTCGGCTTGTTTTTTCAGTGGATTTGCTTTGACATGCGGCTGTTTTTCTTAATAGTGAGAGACTAGGTAGTTGAGAGCAACATAGTAGTAACTCAGTTTTAGGAGACTTTTTAGAATATTTTTTTTCTGAAGTGACAGCTGAATACCAGGCTTTCAGATTAGAAACTCAGCACATAACTCCCTTTTTCCTGAGGCAGATGGTTATAACACACCCTGCCCACAGAGGGACAGGTCTCTGGCTGTCATGTCCCAGCTGAGGAGACTAATTATAGAATTTTGTTCTCCTCTCAAGTATGGATTTATCATGAGTAGGAGATTATATTTGTCCTATTTTTAATTCCCAAAAATAGCTAAAATATGCAGTGGTATAAGTGAAAGTTGTTTTGCTTACAACAGCCTCATTCCTTTACTCTTCTTAACACTACACCAAAAGAAAAAACAAAACAAAACAAAACAAAAAAACCAAACCAAAACAAAACAAAACCAAACAACAAAAAAACCTCCACAGTGTAAAAACATTGTAGCCAAATGGATCTAAACAGAGCTGATGAGCGGAGAAAGGAAAAAAAATAAATAACAAAAACAACAACAAGAACAACAAAAAACTCCATACAGAAATGTCAGCACAGGGGTAATTCTGTGGTCAGGCTGCCCATCAAGTTTCTTGCAGACATAAATATTTCTCAACCCAAGTGAAGATGTTTTCTGGGTTTAATCACACACTGCCTCCAGACAACTACTGTTCCCTAGCAAGTCACTTAATCTTCTGTTCACAGAAACGTGTGCAGCAATACCTTCCAGCCTGCATCATAACTATAAAAATCACGGCTACTAAAAACAAAGCCCTTTATTTGCAAACAGAGAGGCCTTTACTATGTGTGATTAACACAGTTTCTATCCTCTGCATCATATTTGTGCTGGTATTGCATTATGAAGTAATTTTCCAGTCCTTCATTCTCCTTTTCATTTCAGCAGTAGGGCTTTGTATATAACCAGAAAATAAAATGGCTGGCAGCTGAAAGGGAGTTAAAAATAACACTGCTGTGATGTATCTGTAGTTGCCTCCCTGTTTCAATTTCTCATTTACTTCCTTGGCAAGAATTATTTATACGCTCAATTCCGAAATATCTTTCCTTTGCAAAATACTTCAGCTGTATGCAGGATTATTAGATAAGGAGATGGAAACCTTTTTCTTACTCTTCTACACAAAATGTAAGGATGCCATATATTTTATTATTTTTTTCAAAGCCACATAAAGGTAGTGTCATAAATTGGGTCTCAAGCATCAGAATGAATTCTGAAATATCAAATGATTTATACATCCAATAAATAACCTTATTTGTGTATTACCAACCAAGAAAGTTGGTTTGCTTTTCACAGGTTATAAATCTATTTAAGGTTTTGTATATTCCTCACTTGTATCTCACTGTCATATTCTGCATTCTGCAGTGTGTGTGGTTTCCAGAATAAAAAAAAAAAAAAAAAAAGTTTAGTTTAGTAATAGGTATGTAGGAAGTTTGGGTTTTTTTTTAAATCATGTCATCTTGTCTTCAGATCAATTTTTTTTTTTTAATCTGAAACATTATTTGAACAGGTGTTGATGGTTTTAATTTAATGAAAACAAAGAACAGCGTCATAACTTTTCTGACTCATTTGATATTGGATTAGTAGAAAACGGAGAATGCATTTTCTATTTTTGCCTTTTTTTTCCCCCGCAGTAAATCTTTCTTCTTATATGCAAATAGTTTAATATTAATTCTGAAAATTTGTCATGCCATATTCCATGTCTCTTGTTTGGAAATGCCACCTTATTTTCTTCTACTGTTTAAATTTGCACTCAGCTGCCAATTTCTACATTCAGAAAGGGACAGTTACAACCGTCCAGTCACTTTCAAAGTCCCTCACTAAATTTTCAGGAGATGCCAGCAAGCGAGTCTCAAGCCACGCTGAGGCGGAGGGCAAGGTTCTGGGGAGTGCTGGGCAGCAGAAGTTCGGGTGGCGGCGGTCAGCACCAGGGCTGGCGTTCACCCCGGCTGTGCCGCACGGCCAGAGCTGCCACCCGCTCACTGCTCCCGTGTTCTCCCCAAGGCAGGAACGGCTTTTAAGCCCATCTTTGTAAATTTCTGCCCCACGTGTTATGGTAGGATCTGCGAACTTCATCCCAATGTGTGGCTGTAGCTCTCCTCCAGGTTTTGGGGGGGCGGCTGGCTGCTATTTAAGGCAAGGGGAAAGTGAGGAGCAGGATAAGGTGTCGTATTCCCAGAGAGTGCTCCAAATACCAGCAGGGAAAAGTCTGAGTCTTTTTTTAACCCCATCTCTTTAGCCTATTTTCTCTAGGCACTGTAATCAGAGCTGTAGAGTGGATCTGGGATAATTTTAGAGTATGAAGACAACCTCTGGGGAGGAAGAAACAAAAAAAAAATCTAGTAGTTACCTTTTATAGAGTACTATAAGATGGACTGATATTTAAATCTTGGTGATTGAAATCACCAGACAAGAAGCTTTGATTTAAATCTTCCAATGTCATTCTGATTTCTCCTTCTCTGTTTTCATGAGTTTTCTTAAAAATAAACGTTTGTTGTTATGGTTGTACTGTAATAACTGCAAGTTTTCCTTCAGCAATTTTAAACCAAAATTCACATGCAAATTGGTGTCTTGTGTGATATAAACTACCTGGGTTTTAAAACACCCTTTTCAATACTTCTACACTGGTAAAGTCTTTTGACAGCTACTGCGGAGCAGGATCACAGCTTCCTCCCAAGGTGCAGCGGTTTGTAAGCCAGCTCCTGCCTTTCTGCTGGTAGTAAATGGCTTTGAATGGGGTGTTGATGAGCTGTGTAGTTTATCCACACACCCAAGGAGTTTCATACTTCATAGCGTGAGATTTCCAAAACTGTTGTTTTCAAGCTTTCTCATAAATATGCTCCCAAAGGAATTTCTGTTGTTTAAGCAGAAAAGGGGAGGAAAAAAATAAAATTGTTTTAAGACTATTCCTCCCCGGAGCCTAACGAACTAATGAAGGGGATGAACATCCCTCAGAGTATCCCCTTTGAAAAGTCTGGGGGCACGTTGTCAGAGTGGGGCAAGCCAGACGGAGAGAGCGGTGCCGCCTGTGGCCATGCAGGCATCTCCTGTGGTGCTCGGGGCAAGCAGTGCTGGGCACAGGTACTCTGGGTTTGGGCACAGATCCTTTCATGCAGCGACACTTTGCATGGCAGACGTGCATCTGTGCTGTTAAAGATAGGGTAGCATCTTAAATTTAAGGTAAGGTATCATCTGTAGTGAACAAAGGTAGCAAGGGCAGAAGCCTGTTTCACTGTGTTTTAGGAAGATGTGCTATTCGTTGTACAGCAGGGAAGGTCCTGTGGTTGCTCACCCAATGGCAGTTTTGTGACTGTTCCTCCCCGCTTTCCGCACTATTCATTTCCACCCCCTCCCCCCCCCCCCCAACAGCAATCACACCACTCAGCAAGACCTGAAGCAGCAACACAATGGCCACAATTCATCCTTTTTCCTGTTTTTGCTTTGTTTTCTAGGAGCCTAGAAGATTTCCATTCACCTACCAGATCATTACAGCCCAGCAGCCTGAAGTCCATAGTACAAGCAGTGACTTGGCTGACTGGAAAGAAACAGCAAAAAGAGGGAAATGCATCACATACACTACCCTATCTAGACGCTGACTTGATCCTGAAAAGACTAGCACAATGTTTATCCGGTCTAGACGCTTAATCATAAGAAGTGGAACCAGAGGAACCACTGTAGTCCACTCCTCTGCTGGAAGGCAAAATTTACTTTGTTTGTGCCACACTTGGTACTGTTAGTGTGCAAAATGTATCTGCCTTCTTCCAGCTGAGTTTTGAAATCGTCCATGGATGGAGGCTCCGCAAGCTCTCTGGGGATCCTCTTCCAGTGCCTAATTGATTTTGCAGTAAAGAGGGGTTTAATGTTTGCCAACATCTGTCTGCAAGTTCACTTGCAGCAACTCTGCATTTATCACCCTCTTCCTGTCACCTGGTTTTCCTTCTCTTATCCAGCTGATCCAATTCCTTTTCCTCAGTGCATGTGTGAATGTGCCAAAGACTGTATTACCTAACTCAATCTGGAGAGACCTGCTGGACTCAAAACTACAGGGCTCAAACCACACCAAATCTGCCAAAACTACTGGTGAAGAACAGTAGTGCTCCAAGCAGGTGACAGATTAGAGGCAGTAGCAACCACAGTGGAGAAAGAAGAGTTATAAGTAATATATTTGATCTGGCTTTTCTTTCTAATCCTGAGGTGTTGGGTTTTTTTAATATGTAAGTGAAGAAGAGATGGAAGCAAAGCCCAGCTGTGGATGTATTGGCATCCCCATCATTCCTTTCCTTTCTGTTTTGCTGTCATCAATGTAATTTTGCTGTTTCTGTTTTTTCTGAAACAACTCTGTTGATACCCCATCCCACTCCTCGCTTACCTGTGAAAATGCACGGACTAGGTTTGTCAATAGTTCTCGTGGTCAACTTACGCACTGTTCCGAATAGTCTTCCATGTCTTCATCCCTTTTTATTGTGTCTTTTTAAACACAGACAAATAGCTCTGCTTGACAAAAGCCATAATTCCATACCAGGACCTTGTGTGGGATGTTACCCCCTGAGCTAACTATGGTGTGTCACTACTGTGAATGTAATGGTATCAGTGGGAAATCTTCCAGAGGCTGAATTTACTGCTTTGCCATGGTTTTGGTAGCAGATGGAGACTTTGTGCTACTCTTATGAGCTGGGACCCAACTTGGCTCTTGCCTCAGGTAGGACTGGGGGTCCTCTCCCCACCCTGCACCCCCAGTTGCTCCTCGGTGCCTGCCCAGGCCTGCTGATCTGGCCATTCCCAGGCTCAGTGCTCTGGTTGCCTGTCCCCCCCGGCTCGCTGTGCGGCAGCAGGCTGCTCCTGAGAGCAGAGTGCTCCCGGGCACTGCCTTGCAGCTTGTCCTCTTGGGCATTGCCTTGCAGCTTGTCCTTTTGGGCATTGCCTTGCAGCTTGTCCTTTTGGGCACTGCCTTGCAGCTTGTCCTCTTGGGCATTGCCTTGCAGCTTGTCCTCTTGGGCACTGCCTTGCAGCTTGTCCTTTTGGGCATTGCCTTGCAGCTTGTCCTTTTGGGCACTGCCTTGCAGCTTGTCCTTTTGGGCACTGCCTTGCAGCTTGTCCTTTTGGGCATTGCCTTGCAGCTTGTCCTTTTGGGCATTGCCTTGCAGCTTGTCCTTTTGGGCACTGCCTTGCAGCTTGTCCTCTTGGGCATTGCCTTGCAGCTTGTCCTCTTGGGCACTGCCTTGCAGCTTGTCCTTTTGGGCACTGCCTTGCAGCTTGTCCTTTTGGGCACTGCCTTGCAGCTTGTCCTTTTGGGCACTGCCTTGCAGCTTGTCCTTTTGGGCACTGCCTTGCAGCTTGTCCTTTTGGGCACTGCCTTGCAGCTTGTCCTTTTGGGCATTTCCTTGCAGCTTGTCCTTTTGGGCATTGCCTTGCAGCTTGTCCTTTTGGGCACTGCCTTGCAGCTTGTCCTCTTGGGCATTGCCTTGCAGCTTGTCCTCTTGGGCACTGCCTTGCAGCTTGTCCTTTTGGGCACTGCCTTGCAGCTTGTCCTTTTGGGCACTGCCTTGCAGCTTGTCCTTTTGGGCACTGCCTTGCAGCTTGTCCTTTTGGGCACTGCCTTGCAGCTTGTCCTTTTTTGTGAGAGGTCAGGGCCTCGGCGTGCCCTCTGCCTCCCGGCATCGCAACAGGGCTCTGTGCCTGCTTCACGGGGCGAAGGCTGCTAAAAACAAGGCTACCTCTGGGCATACTGGCTTCATGGCAGTTTCCTGACAGAATAGACTGACGGGAGGACTGCAGGGGGGTCCTCTGGTGATTTTTGTTCTACTGACAAGTGCTAATGCTTAAGGTGTTTCTCAGTTTTCCTCATGTCTGAATATTTGTCATGATATTAGTATCCCTACCAGTATCCTCTTGGTTTTGGGGTTTGCTTACCATTTGTTTGTGCGTCTGAAATATTCCATCTTACAAAGTGCATAGCATTTTGGATTGTGCCTTTTATGCCATATGTTTACCAAGAGTACAAACTTAAATCTAAAAAATCAACAGAGAAGATTTAACAGATACAAGACTTACGCCAAAGTGTTCAGAACCAATATTTTGTTGGTTCCAGAGTGGCAGCCTCTCTAGAGTCTGGCAAAAAGTTATATGGGTGTATATGTCTGCATGTATTACTGAGGACGTGAGAGGTGACGTTTGCAGTTACTATTGTAGTTGCAATATGAATTATTTATTTATATATTTCACTTTTTCTAATTAAAAAAAAAAAACAACAAACTGTTCCAGCCAAAACACCAACTGGTCCATTTTTTCTTTTTTTCTTTTTCTTCTTGTTTTGTATATCAGAAATGCTTCATTGCAAGTTGGGTTTTTTGTAGTTTTGATTTACACTTTGCTTCTTTTCTGAACAGAAAGTGGGACTTCAGGGGGTTTTTAAGGTGTTTTGCTTTTTTTTTTTTTTTTCAAAAAAAAAAATTGAGCAAAACAACTTTTGAGATAAATTTACAAAAGTACTTTTGACCACCGCAGCTGTGGTTTATTTCAGATTTGAAAATAACTTCAATTGACAAAAAAAATATATTTTGTATTTTTAGAGGGGGGTGTGTGTGTGATGCTCGTTACTTAATTATTCTTTATTTGAAGTTACATGATTTAATGATGTATTGACTGTCCTTTTTTCTGAATTTGCCTTTGCTGAAAAAAAGCCAAATAAAGCAACTTTGAACATAAGGCTGCATGATTCCTTTCATTTGTAGCACACTGCTTGTGAGCTTTTATAAACTGATGAGGGAAGCATCATAGATGAGCTCTAAGTGCATGAATAATCCCTTTGGGAAAGGCAGTAGTGACCTGGTATAATCTTTAAGACATATGACCTTTTGAGGTGAATTGTAAAACCACAATAATTTTTGTTTGTCACATCATCAGCTTGCACTTCTTAAAAGATGTGGTGGTGAGAAACTTAGATCTAGTTAAAAGGACATGGCAACAGTGCCGTCTCCCTAAAGGAGACGAGTGTCATGGGATTACATCCTAGGCATTGCAATACCAGTGAAAGGCAGTAGTTTATTACTTGTCTGAGCTCTACCAGTTGGTAGAATAGAATGGAATGGAATGGAATGGAACGGAATGGAATGGAATGGAATGGAATGGAATGGAATGGAATGGAATGGAATGGAATAGGCTAGGCTAGGCAGTGATTTCCAGAGGTTTTGAGATTGCAACTTAAACTCCCACTCTTGATTTTTCAGGGAAACATGGTTGCTACTGATGGTTTCTGAAGAACTTCCCACAGGATGCTGGCCAGAACTGTAAGTCTCATTGCTGATGTACCTCCCCCTGAATGATGGGAGTTAGTAGTTTCCTCTCCTGGGAATCTGTTGCTCTGAGATAAGCCAGGTCACCTCTCCATGCACAAAGGGAAGGTAGCAAGCTAGCAGCACCGTTTCCCTGAGGATGGTGAGGGGCAAGCTGTGGTTTTCCCAGGCAGAAGATCAATTTTTACCATGTAGAAGAGCAGAAGGGCTGCTTGCCATGGCCCAGGAGCTCCTGACATTGCTGGGTCAAGTGCTGCTTGGCCCACCAGTTGTGAGGTGAGTTGTGCCAGCAAAGCAGGGCAGGAACCAAATGATGGGGGCTGGGGTGGTTCAGGCTGGGGCGGAGGTACGATAGCAGGGTTTATGACATTAGAGAAAGGTAGATTGGCCACCCTTAACTTCACAAAAGATAAACCAACACAGGATAGCAGGTTTCCTCAGGGAGATCTCAAGGTTGCTGTAAAACCTTGCTTTTCTGGCTGACAGCCTGCTCCTCAGAACCTGTCGAGATGTTTGCTTTTGTTTTTGAATCACAGTGAATTGTTTAGTTCCTGCAGCTGTGTCCTTTCTCTATGTGATTTTATCCGTGTCATGTGGAAGGATGCCAATATTTTTAGTCTTGAATTGTGCTGACATATGGGGCAGGAAGATGGCATGTCTGCTAGAGATAACAATTTCCATACATGGCTGTGGTGATGGAAAGAGAGTCTTCAAAACTCTAGCAGGCAGGACTGACTTCCTAAGAAAGAGGGAGTTTGCAAAAAAAAAGAAATCACTTCTGATGGCAGTATGAGGATTACTTTTTCTCATTGCCTTGCCAAACTGACCACCCAGCCCAAGGCCAGGGCAGCTGCTCCAGCTGCCTCTGAAAAAGTGGCAAATGCATGCTTGCATTTTTTTCCTGTACCCTTTCCTCATCCTTCAGTGATCCATTAATTTTGCTGCTGCACAACATATTTCCAGTTTCCAGGTCTGAGAAGTAGACTTTCTGGATGACTCTTTCCCTGTCATGTCATCCCATGTGTCCGCCTGCTTCACCTCTGTGTCACCTGGCTGCTGCCCTGCGAACTAAAATGCTGTTTGCTTTGAAAGCATGGCAGCAGCCCTTCTCAAAGTCTGCTGCATAACAAGATGCCAAGGAAGGAAGTTCAGGATAATTTTAGAAGCTAAGAGTATATATGGAGGGGATTAGTCTGGGTTCTTTTTTTTTTTTTTTCTTAAGGTGAGCTGAAGTTAGGGGCAGAATCAGCACTGGACAAGGATTTGCATATTGATGACTAGTATTTATCACCTGGAAAGCCTTAAAGAGCTTTCAACTCTAAGTTGACACTTAAATGTGTTTTTCTGAGACCATGTGCAGTGAGTAACATTCACTTTTGTATAAAGGTATTACCTGCTGCCTCCTGCCCAGGACCTCATACCATTTCATATTCTGAATAAGGTGTTTCTATTTCTGTGACTCTAATCTCATGAAATCCAGGTGGAAACCTCCACTGCCTTCTGCAGGTCTGTTTCTGTACAGTCAGCCACCTCATGGTGCGCTGATCATTTTGTGTGTCAGAAGAAACTCGCTTCATGGTGTTTCCAGCGCATCCAAAAGCTCATCAGCGCTTGTGCTGGAGTGGCCAGCATGCCTTCTGACATTCAGCAGTTTTCATGTGTTGTCTTCAAAAAATCTGCCTGGATGGAGTCTGAGGCAGGCTGTCTGCCCTGCCTTAGTAAGAAAATGTGTGGGTAGTAAGTTTCTTAGCTCCTCAGCTTCTGAAGCCCTCGTGCTGAAACAAGAGAGGCAATTTGCATCTTCTACCGGGCAAAAGGATCAGTATCTCCCCTGGGAACTGAGTGTCCTGCTGCCACAGGATACATAGGGATGGCTCAAAGGAGATGGGAACAACAGGACTGTGGTGCTTTGAGTCACTCGGCCTGGACTTTCCCAAGAGGGAAGTCTGGCTGCCTGGATGGACAAAACTGGGCAGTAAAGAATAGAACTGGAGCCCTGCCCTTGCTATTCTGTTTCCTTAAGGAAATGGAGGAGATGAATTTCCTTACTAATTGCTGCCTAGCAAATCACTTCTGGAAAACAATGTATCTGAGTGTAGTAGGCTGGCAAAAGGAAGGGGTGTTTCCCACCACTTACTTGAAACAGGGTTCAAGCAGGTCACTCCTTAGCAGATGAAGCACATATCAGACAGATTGCCTGTTCTGACAATATTTAGCAAACTATTGGTGAATGTATTCTACTAAGGAAACATACTGTAATGGAATGACTGATTGGTACTTGATTTTACCCACTCTTAAATTGTTTCTGATTTCAATTTCTTTCCTCCTGATTATGCCCTTCCCTTTTCAGGCTTCCTTTACCTCCTGTTCCTCTCAGTGCTGGACAAGTCCCTTCCTGGTTGCTCTTGTCTTTTGTAAAAGATTTTGCTAGAAGAGTGCTATCTTCTCACAAACATTCTCCATCTAACTTCTCCCTTTCCTTCTCTGACACCCAGGAGTTCACAGCAGTCACTCCATCATGTGAAGGTGTTATCATCTCCCTGGGTCACAGTAACCATGCAGTGAAAGTAGCTCTGGTGAAAGCCAGTCCTTCCTTCCAAACCAGAAGGCAGCCCCTCTAG